GAAAGGACTTGTATCGCTGAAGTTTCTCGGAAAGAATTTCTACAGGAAATTAACAAATAAGTAGATACGTAACAATATCAAATACAGTTTTAATATGTTACATGCTTTACATTTAAATTTAATAAAATTCAACTAAAACTACTGAATTATGACAAAAACTAAAAAATTAAAATTTAATATAAAATAGGATTTCAAAAATTAAAAATTTAAAAACATAACATTGATTGAATACTTTGTTCAAACTACAAAACTTGGTATTAAGCAGTTTCTTAGTTTAAATAAAGATCACTTTAAGGTTGATGGTTATACTTAAAAAATATTTTTAAGAGAATTTCTTATGAAGCATGTTTATAATTGTATAAAATGTTTTCTTTAATTGTGCAGGCAAAGCACAATGTCTTGGAAATAGCATTTTTCCTGATGAAGACCTTATAACTGAGGGGAAGAGAATACTTTGATGCTCAATGAAGGCCACAACCTGCGAAGTGGTTTTGAAAGTAGAGGATCTCAAATAAATACATTAGTATATAGCTGTATATATATATACAGCTGTATATAGCTGAAATATTTCTTATAGAAAATCATGTTATTGAATCATACATTTTTTGTAAACAGTATGATATATCTATCTATATATGCATATTAATTATTGAAAATCATGATGAGGAAAAGCATTTTGAGTATTTCCTACATAATAATAAACACCAAACAAATACATACCCCATAAAGAGGTCTTAACAACAACCAAAACTATACTACCATTGTAATGTGTTCTATCCGGTAAAAAATAATGTCCAAGCCCTGTCCACATAAAGATAATGAATAAATTTATATCTTCAATAATGTTAGCTAAACGCTACCCTCACTTTGACCCAAGTTGTAGGCCTAAGTTAACAAAACATATTTTTCAACATAAACTGAAATTATTGTAGGCAAAATTACATCCTAACAGAAACTTCCTCAATTGATAACAAACTTAACTAACTTCCCAATTAACTTTACTTAAGCAATCTTCTCTCAGTTAAGAACTACTTGATCTTTAATCATATCTCATCCACTAATTACTTGAATTTATAAACAATGAACCTTGTCTCTAGATACTACCCAAACATACTAGATTTTTGACATCACTTTGAACTTTCTAGGACTACTTTTATGAACTTACTTGATCTTAACATCATATACACCCTCTAGTTAACATCTAAAACATTGATAATATGGCTTACAACACTACCTTCCTAGAAAGATTTTCTGCTTTATAGTAAAAATTGGTTTCTTCCAATCCAAATGCATATTGTCCAAACAAGTAGCTAGAGAAAAACAAAGATGAATATTCAGTATTAGAGCCAAAGTTCACCTGAGAGAAACAAAAATAATAGAATTATGTTTGTTAGACCTACTTGCTTTGATAAATTATGGCATGGGTAATTGTTCATGCTATATTCATCAATCTAAGTGAGACACGATTCATCTTGCAACACAAAAAGGAGTATCCACTGTAGGTCTGAATCCTTCATATGCTCTTCCCAAAGCGTTAGTCATGGCATTCATACAATAGTGTGATTTTCTACTGTATGACCTGTCGTTATAGGAGAAATGGGCTTAACTTGTATATGGTTTTCAAAGTCTAGAAATTCAGTGAATAGTCAAGGTCCTAACATTGAGCAAGATAGCCTTTCTGCATCCCCATATTGCAGACCCAAGTGGTAATACATAATCAAATCATAGCCTTGCAATGCTGTTATCCAGTGGGCTATCATCTCTGAGGTTTTTAAAGTTCATCAACTCTCTACCATACAAATAGTTTTAGAAGTGCTTCACATAGACTACAACTGCAAGTAGTTCTTTCTCCATTGTGCTGTGTCTGTGTTACAGAAATGAAAAATCGTAAGCATTTGACTGGCATACATGAACATTCTTGCTACTCCTCTTGCAACAACACTGCTCTGATTCCACTATTGCTGTCATCAATGTCCAACAGGAATTCACAATACTGTAATTACTTGTCCAAACTCTTCACTCCACCTGAAATGTATTTAGGTTTTAGCAAGAGCCAAAATGTTGAAGGAATCTTAGAGAAGTTAGCCACATTGTCGACATCAGCAGCCATCTCTCTCATTGAACTTTTAACCACAGGTATGCCTTTAAGTACTTTTCTACTCAAGTCACAATGTTACATTAAAAATTTAATTAAACACCTTTACTATCAATTTATGTGAATTAAATTAACATTATAATTATGTTATGATTCAATGTTTTATGCTATCTAAGTTTTAAGTTTTGTATTTTAAAAATACTTTTAAAAACCTACTTTAACCTTCAGATGTATTGTTACATGATTAATGAGCTATGAAAACTCTTTACTTTGGCACTCTGTATCTTCGATAATACAATGGCAGTTGAATAGAGGTATGTTTAGACTCTAAGATGCTTTCATAGCCTTTTGACTCGTATATTTCAAAGTTCTCAGAAACTATAAAGTTCAAACAACTAATAAATTTCATCAACCCCTTAGAGCCGCCACGCCCACCATCAACAGGTTTGTTTGAGTTTTGTATCCTATATGTAGATGTTACAAACACATATGTATAGTCAGTAGAAAGAGCATATTTTACACTATAATCTAACAATAGGTTATTTTGAAATTGGCCTGCAGTTGTCATCATGGGCTACATGTAACTGACTGTAGTATTGTTGGCTGCCTGATCGAATATAGCACTTATGGTTGTTTCTTACCAAAATATGTTATAGTTAGAGATACAGATTAAACCGTATTTACGTCTTTCTATTGTATTTTAGTTTATTATGTATTAATTGTTTTAAAATGCATAATTGAAAGGTGTAGCCATTTTTAAATATACGTCATACTTTGAATTATTCCTCAAGGTTTACAAGGCGGTGCACAAAACTTTTGCCAAAGGGTTGTTCATGTCTGCCTGACACCTAGTATGCTTCAAGAGCACTGTTGACTTGTGGTGAGATGAATAACAAGTGGTAAAGGACAAGAAAGGAAAATAAAACATTAAAAATTAACTATATGTGAAAAGGAAAAACCTGAAGCTACAAATATAACAAAAGGAAAGTCTTTAAAGATATTTTACAAAAAATAATAGATATGCAGTTTTTCTATTTCCTAATTTTAATTATTTCATTGTATTGTACGTTGATGTTAATAGCTAGAATTAGTGATATGGTAGAGAAAATTAAAAACAAAATATAAACATTTACCTTAAAAAAATTTGGATATTCATTTAGGAGGTTCTAGGGGTTATGCAAATGAAATATGAAAAATATAAGAAATATTTCGAACTATTTTAGCAGTTAGGGTGCAAACAACTATTATAGATAAATAACATTTTTATTAGAAAGACGTAATTAAAATAATGTCATTCTTTGTGTACGAAATACTTATAAACTTTAACAAAATCTTAAGCTGTTTTGTGAGGAACATCAGAGTTACCATATGTTTTTTCATAAAATCCTTTCCCAGTCAAAGTGATACAAAATGTAATAAATTGCAACAGGCCGAGGAGAAAGGGTTAATAGAAACTTAGGGTAATAAATTTCTACTATAAGGTTATTTTTATATTAAATATTAAGGGTGACTGCCTTCTCACAACTGGCTGCTTAAAGCGAAAGGCAGTATGAGTTCAGATGTTGTGGGTTCAAGCACTCAATTCCTAACCCTTAACTGGTTCTTCATATCTGCTGACTAGTTTGACATCTGTTTTTCGATCTTATCTGATAAGTGGAATATCCCCAACACATTTGGGACCTATGGCCAGAGGCATTTGCTGCTACACGTTTATGATGACAACAAGGACTGGTAATGGAAAAATAATTTGTCTTATTTTGAATGTTTTTGATTTGTATTAACTTCATTGTTGTTCCATAGTGCTGGTGTGATCGCCTATTTACAGTTAATGTATCTGATAGCATTATAATTATTGAATAATATATGTGTGTGTGTGTGTGTTTATCAAAATAACCTGTACCTAGGTTTTAGCAAAGAAATATATTTATCACATCTAATTAAAAAAATGGATGCAAACAACTTGTCCCTTTTAAGTGCTTTAATTCAGAATTTTACTCCTGTTAAAGTAGACTAGAAGGAGCATTTCACATGCTAGCAATAAGCAACTAGGTTTTAATTAGAAACTAAGTGTTCAGTAACTAACCTATAGAGAGGAGTAGTTGGTTTCCAACGAGGAAAAACTCTGGCAATCAAGTCTCGCATTTGTGGTAGATGGCCTTGAGAAAAGTTGCTGTCATAAGCCATTCTTATGGCAAACATATCAGATGGATGGTCAACAAGAATATCATCCCACATACTGGTGGCTTCATGTAAGTATCTGTGAATAGAAACATAAGGTATAAAAATTAAGTTAAGAAAATGATAGGAGATACGGGAGGTTTTTAAATATGTGATCCTGCTTTAAGTGACAATAAATTATGTAAAGAGGCTCCAAACACATAGCTGTTTTGAGTGTGGGGAGAGGTACAGACCAGCTGTGCCCTATGCTGGACCTTAAAGTCCATACTTGAAGGAAGCTATTCAGTGACCAAAACCATTCCTAATAAAAACTAATTTTAACCATTCTAAATAATCAGCCCAAACTTGAAATACACTGTTATTTCTCAAAAGCCGTCTTTACTAATAAGGACACATTTGAAGAATACTATTTCACTAACTAAAAATATCTACATTAATCATCCAGCACTACAATGACACTGTTCACTTCTTAAAACAATATTTACTAATCAGTATACATTTGAATGACACTTTTCTTTTATTAGAATCATTCTTACCAGTCAATACACACTTGAAAGAAACTGTCCACATTCTCAAATAATCCTTACTTATCTCTCTACACTTGATAGAAACTTTTCACTTCATCAATAAACCAACCTGTAATTGTCTATACTTTAGATGCTGATAATTTGCTGAAATTATTCTTATTTAAAACTTTAACAATTTTAGATTGAAGAGAAGTAGGTAACTTGGATATTTCATATTTTCGTTGGCTTGAATTTAGCAATCATCAGATTGACACAAATTTTTAGTTACTGTTTACCTTCAGCTCCATTAATTATGACGAAATCAAATACTGATTTGAGACTAATGATAAACTCTGCCTATTAGGGAAATGACTTCTTAAGACAGTTGTCTTGCCTATGGTAGTGTAATAAGTGTAGCGGGAGCATGAAATTTTTACATGTAAGGGTGTGGAACCACTTTATTCAGTATTTCTTATATGTTAATATTGTTGTAACATCTTCTATCATTGAGCAGGCTCTTTTAGATTATTTGGTAAAAATAATGTGAAGTCTAATCCACATACCAATAATGAATTATTTCTTTAATAGATTAATAATTTTTGTTACAGGTTATCTTTATTTGTAGGTATAATTTTAAATACAATGGTTTTAATACCATTTTACACAGATACAAAAAATTGAGTTTCAGACAAATAAATGCACTAATCTTCACTGCCCAACTCTAATTGAATCACAGATGCTATAACTCTTACAGTCTAACTAGCACTGAACTAAATCAATAAGTACCTCACAGTCCTAATACGCAAATATAATAGTACAATAAGCTGTCCATTCATAAAGTATTTTAGGTGGCTATCTTCTCTGAGGGTTGTAGTATGCATATGAGATAACATCTTGTCCCTTATTTCATGTGCTGTCCAGTCATTTGGGAAGTTCTCCTTATGTAGATGGTCAAGTGAGTCTATTGGTTATTCTATACTTGATGATCCTCTGGAATTCATCTCTGCTGGAGCTCGTCTCTTTGGAAGCTCGACTTTCTGCTGGAAAATTACACTCTGAAGTCATCCAACTCGGTGTTCTCTCATCATACTATAAAGACAGTAATGGTGCATGACCTTTGTTTGGATTGCCTGTCCTAATGGATTCTGTAAACCAGTGGTTTTCAACATTTTTCCGAATGAGTACCAGTTAGTTTCGACCCCAGTATTTCATGGACAATTTCATTAAATATTCATTAAATAAATATTAAAGTACTTAAAAATTACATTGTAAAACAAAAACGTTTAGTAGCTATATTTTAAACAAACATTTTTATAAACTATCTTCCATCCACAAATAAGACTTATTCTAAGTTTCATCCATGATCTGAGCAAAGTTCCATAGGCACCCCAAATCTTAAAACAACATCATTGGCAAACTTCTTTTTTATAGTTTCTGCTTCCTGGTTAGGAACAGCATGTGCTTTTGACCATTTGGTGAAATAGTCCATCAAAACTATGATTAACTTATTTCAACTTTTACTCTGTTGGAGAAAACCAATCACGATAACAGCAACTCTCTCATGTGATACTTTATCACAGTATTGTTGTAGCAAGCTGTCAGTGCAGTTTCTTTCGTGAACCTTTTTTGTGCACAGTTATATACCATTTCTTTACAGATCCCTTGCAACTAACTCAATAGAAGAATTTTCCTACTCTTTACAGTGACTTCTTAAAGCCTATTAATCTGCTGTTGAAAGGATATGGAAATAGTTGTGCGTTTCAGAATGTAGTGATTGTTTCTGTCTTCTGATATTGTTCCATTCCTGACATAATAAGCCTTATTGTAAGCATAATCACTATCACTGGACTGTTTGGAGCGACATTTGCCATGAGGATTTTTCTGCCCAATTTTTGATCCTCTGAATAATTTATTTCAAACTTGTTACTTTTGTCTAAGCATCTTTCTGTTGTATGTTTTATTATATTAGTTCTTTGTCATCACTCGCAGATGCCACATCTTACACCATACACTTTTATTCTTTAGATTGATCGTTTTTACAATTTCCTGAGCAAAGCAATTAAATGATAATTATAATGTGCGATATCATACTACATCATGGCAAAATTGTTGTTATAAAACAATGTCAGTCACTCTTAATAGTCTATTATTATATCAATCAGGCATCTGATCAACAGTCATGTGATCTGACATTTACATGTTTGGACATTTTCTTGATTCTGTAATATTGCAATTAATCCTGGGAATCCATATCGTATTTCTCAACTCATCGAGAAAAAATTCAGTTCGATATAAATTTTGATAGTTTCATCATAATTAACAGATACGAGGAAGAACAGTGATTAGGTTTTTGTTAGGATTTTATGAATGTTAATTTAAAGCCACACTAAACCTGAAAAGCATGATGTACGTATCTACATCTCTTAAAACTAAATTATCACTAGTTGCTTACTTATAACCATACTTACTAAAGATATCAAATTAAAGGCGTTATCGTAAAATCATCTTTACTAATCTGTTATAAATGTTATTTTAACTGTCTAAAAGAAGTCTTATAAATTGGCTGATACTTGATAGATTTTGTTGACTTGCAAAACTAGTTATTATTAATCTGTCCACACCTGAGGAAAAAGTTCATATAATAAAACCACCTTAACTAACCATCACACAAACGAAAGTTAACACTTTCCTTACATGAAAATGTATATCAGATAGATACTTACCACTAGGCACCACTAAGAACTATTACCTCACAAGCAACTGGCGTGGAATTTCCCATGTGTGCCACAAGTCTTAAACAAACTCACCCTTACACAAGTCTACATGTATTGTGTCAACCTGTGACGTAGTCATCATAATGCTGTATCCTTCCATAAATAGAAGGTAACACAACCTAAATGCTCAGTAATATTTATAAGCACTAACACGTGGTCATAGGCTCATTCTTGACAAGGCAAATATAATGTACTAGAAGCGGGGAGACACTTGAGAGGTGGTGTAGAGAGATAAGTATCTATCTGATACACATTTTTAGATAAGGAAAGTGTTAACTTTAGACACGTTACTTATCTATCTGTGTCACTTAGAGTTAGAATCCCATTTTGAACATGATGTAGGAGTCAATACTTATCATTACAAAGATGAGAGTGTGACTTTCAAAAGAGTAAGGGTCATCTAGTGGAGCAGCACCAAATGGGAGACCACATCCTTCTCAAACAGCAAATAATCTTCCCTAATAGTTTTTAATGAGATGGTAGAGCAAAGGATATCAGGAAAATCCAATGCTGGTAGTAATGTGTTGCCAAGGTGGACAGTACATTAAAATCTGTGGCTAGAGTTATAGGCTGTTCCAGCTTGGCTAAATGCTTACATGAGATATATACTATAATGACAGGCAGAGGGCAGAAGACCTCTTACCTGCATCGCAAGGCGACTCCAAGTGCCATCCAGCTGGATGTATCCACCAGGAACTGATTGGGAGATACTGTAATGTATTACACTTTCAGGTAACACTCAAGCCCTACATTTCAACAAAAGGTGGACTGAATCAGACTCTTATAGGGAGGAAAGCACCATTCACAGAGAAAACTCTCCATATCGACATCCCCAGTAGCTTGGGACTGGGAAAATTAGGGTTCTCCCATGCTTCTTTGGAAGAACAGCAAAAAATAAAACATTTAGAGGAGAATGTCAGAGGGTATTCATGGACTACTGTCATCAGACACACTCATCTGAAATTAAGTCCCAACCAACAGATAGTGCAATGGGTTACTCAAGGTAAAGATAGCAAGCATAAGCCAGGAGTAATATTGTAATGGGACATCCTGTAATACACTTTCAGGTAACATCCCAGCTCCACATCTCTAACAAGGAGTGGGTGCAATTGGTCTCTAACAGGAAGGAAAGCTCCATTCACAGAGAAAAATCTACATAATGATTCTCCCATGCTCCACTAGAAGAGTAGGAGGGAGGAGAAATAAATGTAGGGAAGAATGATGGAGAGTGTTCATGGCCTACTTTCATCAGGCAAAATAATTTGGAATTGGGTCCCTACAGGGGTGGGATTCAAATATTTTAACAACAGGTTCTCTCACTAGCAGCATGTAAAAATATTAGATATTAAAAAAAGGAGGGCCATACCTAATACGTTAAAAATAATATTTCAAAAAAGTAAAGCAGAAAAAAACAAAAAATAAATAAAATGAATAGTAACAGGTGAAAAACAAAGAAAT